CTCCACTGTATGTCTCTTTCTAAATATACATACTACACGGTATAAAATTATTATATGAAATACACTGTCAAACATTATTAAAGTAAGAGTATTCTGAGAGAGCAGTCCCTGTCTCAAACGCATCCACAAGGCTGGGAAATTTCACACTTAGCTCATCCTATGAAGTTTCTTTTTTCCTCTATTTTTTCTGTTCTTTACCTTCTTCATAGACATGATTTTTCCCTTTAAGTGGTGCATCAAGCTCCTTGTGCACATATTAGTAGTGTTTGTATGCCTCAAAACCCCGAAGTTTCACTCTGAGCATGGTACATGCTTAAGGGAATTTTGCAAAATACATTTTTGACTTAGAGTTGAATTTCAGCATGAGCCCTGTGTGCCACTTTTGAAACATTGTATCTAACTGTAACAAACAAGATCAAAGTGCTTAATAATGTTTCAAACCTAATTTCTAAAAAAAATTAAAAGTAAATTTGTTTCATTTTGTTTTGGAATTTAAAATGTATCAGATTAATGAAAGGAAGCCCTGAGTCATGTGGGCTGTGTTAGATTGTACTATTGTTTAAATATTTGATGACCATCGTCCTAGTGGAGCAATTGTAGTACATTACACCACTCAGATCAGGTTTTGCCCTGTGAGCTGCAGTACCCCTCCCTGCAGGATGATTACAAATCTCAATGTGTAACTTGCTTTGGTCAATAAGAGGTGGATAGAAATGAATGCCACTTCTGAATGGAAGCTGTAAGAGCCAGCAGGGACTTATTTTGGTCTCTTTTCTGCTAACAATGAAGACCCACAACTAGTTCATTAGCTCAGGAGCCACAGCTGACCCACAGTGACATGCTCAGAAATACATCTTTGGTATTTAAGCCATTGAGAGCCTAGGGCCCCATGTTTTTGAACCACAATGTAGTTTATTCCAAACTGACAGATTCCTGCATTTGCTTATGAGCCACAGTAACTTGGACTAGTTCATCTGTAAATACTGTACATTCTAATCTTGTATTATTGGGATTTTCGGCTGCTGATGTGATTTACTCCTTGTAGTTTAGAAAATGAATTCACTGGGGAAATACTATGTAGCTGTTACACAGGCAAGGCTGGAGTACTGAGTATGGAACCAAGAGGCATTTCGAAGCTGGGGTCTCAGCGAATGGTTTCATTGTGCTGTCATTGGTCACTGTTAGGCACAACCTCTAGTCACTAGAGACTAGATGCCACCGCTACCTATGGTACAATGCACTTCGAGCCATTCCAGCATCTCTCTGTTGTTGCCAAAGGCTCAGATCTTCAAAGACATTGTATGACTGCCTAGTCTTGGGTCTCATGCCTGCATCTTTGTTGCCAGTGTACTGGAGGAAGAAATATCTGTACATTGGGGCTTTTTTAATGAGAAGACGCACAAAATAATCAACTAGGGCTTCAGAGGCTGAGCAGATCTTACCTCCCAAAAGATAAATATCCCCTATAAACTCTTAGAAGATAAGCAAGCTTTACAACTCCTGCTTTTTCTAAGTCATGTTTCCCTTTTTTTTTTT